CTGAATCATGGACTGCTCTGTAAATCTTGCAATGTTGTCTAATAGTGCAAGCCAACGGTTCTAGGCAAATATTAAAAAGCATAATACCATTCACTTTAACTCTAGATGTAGGTGAGTCATACAATAGTTTAATCCATTTTATAAAAAATAAATAAATCCAAATTTAGTTAAAGCTACCTCTCTATACTGTTTATATATTTGTTGTAAGTCTTTTCAGCATCTAGTAATAAACTTAGAAATTGATCTTTATTTTTGTTTAAATCTACCAATCCATTTCTAATCTAATATTATCTACTGCTTGTTTTTATGAAGTCTGTCTGTTCACTCTTAATGACCAGTGCTTTTACTTGCTGGATTCTGTTTGCTAAGGTCACTGTTAAAATTTTTGTATCAACATTGATCAATGATATAGGCTGATAATTTGCACACTGAGTATGATCTTTATCTGGTTTGCGTATGAATGTAATATAAGCTTGATTAAATGTCCTACCTTTAGCCAATGTTTTTTCTAGAAAAATAGGTACCAGTACAACCATGAAGTTGTTACAGTATGTGGCACACTTTTTAACCAAAATAAAAGAGGTGCCAGTACCCCTGAAAAAAGGCACTGCCTTTAACAAATATCTCTTTATACAAATGACAATGTTTTGGAGTTAATAGATCTATGTATGTCTTATACCATTCAAAATGAAATCCATCCAATCCTGGTGTTCTACCATTTCTCATTTTAAGAATTATTTGCTTAATTTCTGCTTCCGATACTGCTGCTATTAACATTTGTTTCTGTGAATCATCTAAATACAATGGTACCTCTAGTTGTGGACTTAATGCGTTTTGGGGTGCCATTCGCACCCTGCCCCGAAAAGTCTGCAACTAGAGTGCCTCTTCTGTGCATGTGAGCGGCACGATTGAGCGCTTCTGCACATGTCTGAAGCACGCAGATCGCTTCTGTGCATGCGCGCGTGGCGAACCCGGAAGTAAACACCGGGTTCGTAAGATGAAAGTCCGTAACAAGAGCGGAACGCAACTAGAGGTACCACTGTATGGTACCATATTTTTCGCCCCATAGGGCGCACCGGCCCATAGGGCGCACCTAGTTTTTTTTTGGGGGGGGGAATAAAGAAATTTTTTTATCTCCCCCCCCCCCAGGTGCGGAGCTGGGGTAGGGGAAACCCGAGCTTCCCCCGACTCCAGCCCCCAGAACAGGCTGCTATCCATAAGCCTAGGGAGCCCGGCGGGAAGTCGTGCTAGTCTCCCCAGGCTTCGGGGTGCAGGCAGTTCTCCGCAAGCCTAGGGAGCCCAGCAGGAACTCCTGCGGCTTGTGGATAGCTTCCTGACGCCAGGAGAGCGAGACGGGTCGGTGCGCATTGACCCCTATCGCTCTCCAGGCTTCAGCGAAAGCCTGCATTCGCCCCATAGGACGCACACACATTTCCCCTTCATTTTTGGAGGGGGAAAAGTGCATCCTATAGGGCGAAAAATACGGTATATTTATTTTGTTAAAAACCTCTGTATCATCATAAGCTGCATAGTATTTGACAGGTACTGGACTCTGAAGTCAAACCGAGCAAAGAACTGTGTCCTGCAGATCTGCCACTCTTTGAGACAACACATTGTCTGCCAGTACTCGAGATTGAGGTGATCAGTGAGGACTTCCACCTGGTACTGTGCCCCTTCAAGAAAGTTCCTCCATGCTTTGAACAGCTGATGGAGTGGACCAGATGTTGGGGCACCGTTATATAGCCTGTGTGCCCTGAATTCCATCTACCTGGCCTTCAGTCCCCCCTTGGGGCCTATCATCTACCCCACCTGGAGGACTCCTGCTGTTGCTGCTGTTGGGGATACTGCAATCTCCCCACACTCTGAGGACTCCTGCTGATGCTGCTGCTGCTGCTGCTGCTGCTGCTGCTGCTGCTGCTGTTGGGGGGACTGCCATCTCCCTGTGGGAATGTTTAGGGAGGCAGGAGAGGAAATATTGTTTATTAATGTCCTTCCTAACTTGCGCTAGTACTATAACTTAGCAGAGTTTTAACATTCCTCTTTAAACGCACATCAGGTAGCTATTTAAACTTCTCAATATAGATTCCTGGTAAGATCCCTTATTTCCCTCTTAAAAGAATGAACACACAACAATCTTATTTAAAGTCATAAAAGAAGTTTACTCACAGCATCATCAGTTCACAGTTGGATCCCTGAAGGCAGACTTAGTTACGGATATATACATGTGAGTCTATCCCATATGGATAGACTGTTGGCTGAAAGCCAACAGGGCATCTCTAGCTAAAAGCTGCTCCAATGACGAGAGGAAGTCAAAGAGTCTACTGTGTGCCTTGTGCTTTTGTTACCTGCACAGGTAAAGTCATGACCACCTCTAGTCACATGCAAGAGGAAGGATGCCCCAGCCCAGGAGGAAACAGGAAGTTTTCGACTGGCTGGACCAAACATCCCCTTTGCGTGTCCACTCTAGGAAAACAAGGAATGTTGTACGTGACTGCTACTTATCCCACACTCCCCTCTGAGGATTTGCAGGACTCCTGCTGCTGCAGTGGGGGGATGTTGGGGTGGGTGGGTGGGTGGGTGGGTGGGATGAGGGCATGGGCCAGCCCCCCATGTTAAAGTTGTTTTAAAGGGGATAGGGTTTGTATTTGTATGGAGGTTGTCTTTAATGTATAGTTGTTTTAGCTTGTATTGTATTATAGCTTTTTTGTTTTTTTGTTAAGTTATTTTGTTTTAAGGGGGGAGGGCTGCCTGGGAGTGGGACCCAGCCAACGAGGGTGGACTCTTCCTCGTCGAGCCCTCGGCCCACCTCCAGGTGTGGCAAGACCACCTTGCCAGGCCAATGAGATGGACCGGCTGCCTGGTGAGGCCTAGTCAGTGGCTCAGGGCACGCTGGATGGGTCTGCCTCTGCACCGGTGGCCAAGCGCTGCTCCCAGGCACCACTTGGGAGCAGGAGCCCAGCAGCCTTCATGACGGGGGGCGGGGTGAGTATTGGGGAGTAGGGCAACACTGAAAGGGAGTCCCCCCCCCAGCTGCAGCCTCTGAGCAACATTTGGACAGGGCCAGACAGGCCTCCCCTCCTCATCCTGCTTTGTGGGCTGGCTGCTTGTGGGGGGATCAGCCCCCCCCCAACTGTGGGGCATAGACTTCGTGTGAAGGAAGGAAGCACCACAGTTGCCTGTTTGCAGAGGGCAGAGGTTGAGGCAGAAAATGGCAGCCCCCGGTGGAGAAGCCTTACCCAACCCACCCCCGAGATTGCCACCACCCTCATCCTTGTGCGGCTGAGTCCCACAAGCCTGCAGGTTGCTGCTACTGCAGCTTGGAACACCCTCAAGTTTAAATTGTATGTCTATTTTTTTATTTGATTTTCTTTACCTTTGATCCTTAACATTCATTCGACCTTATAATTCTTGATTTTCTTTTTTTAAAAAACCTTTTGATTTTTAACATTGATTGGGCACTACCGTTTGATTCCAGAATGTGTGTGTGTATAGATAGATATGTAACAGAAATGACAAAGGGGGGCACATCTTTAAAGTTGTTAAATGTTACAAATATTATGCCTGAATGTATCCTTTCAACTTGACAGCTCAGGGAAGATACCTAGCTTTAAAAATCATATAAAATCAACCCCTTTGCCAGTTTCCTCCATTTCAACACTATTTGCTCTTGGAAAAAGGACTCTTTTCCCTGCCCCCTCCCCAAGCTTGAAGACAAGTATTACACACCTCCTACTCCAGGAAGTGCCCAGAGGTGACAATTGCTGAGCTGATTGTTGGCCAAGGAAAACCTAATCCCATCACCAGACTTCGAGGGGTCCAGACATGCAAAGGAAGTTCTATTGTACTTTGGGTGGTGGACTTCAGAGGTGCTTGCCTATGCTAATCTTATACCTGGGTCTTGCCCTGACATGTTTTGCCTATACTAATCTTGGACCAAGGACTTGTCTGGACATGTTCGCCAAGGTTGAACTAGTGTAACCTCTGTCTACCCCTCCCCTTTGGTGACATGTCAGTGATGTAAAGATGATGTACCAATGATGCTGTACGAACTGTATTCTGGGATGTGGTGGGAAGTTTTAAAAGTCAATGTTGCCCCATGTTCTGGGTTCACTCGCTGATGTTGAACCTGTTGCACAACAATAAAGGATCTAGGTCTACTGACTGCTGCTTTGCTCTAAATTACTTGGCTGGAATTTCCTACTTTTACTGACCGCATGGACCCACGGGGGACTGGTACCCCAACAAACTGGGCTGCTGAGTAGTCTCTCAACCCAGAATTTCCTTAACAGATATAGATAGATATAGATATAGATGATATAGATATCCCATACACACAAATACCCCCTTTCCCCTACCCCCTTTTTTCCATTTCCTTTTTTCTCCTCAAATATACACATCTTTGGCTATTATTATTTTAATTAAAAACAACCAATACCCCCCCCCCCATTATTTCTTGCTTCTGCAACCGTTTCCCCTTTGCTTCTCAGGTTGCCATGGCAATGCTGCCAGCTTTTCAACCACATAGCCACAGGAACAAAGTCCAGCACCTCACTGCCCTACCTTCACTTTTCCTCTGAAGTGTCTTCCCTCTAGGCAGGCTCAACCAAAGCATGCCTGAAAGGGTCTAATCTACATGTTGGAGATTAACCATACTCAGGGTGGTCCATCTGAAAATAAGAAGCAGCCTTATTCTAAGTTGCACCATTGACTCTTACAGCTCAGGACTCGTCCATACTTCCGTTTGTCTCATGCCTATAAAGCATAGGTTAGAGCAGTTTTCCCTTTGTCCTGCTCCTTTCCCAGGGAAAGCCTACCCTTTAACTCTAAATAGGAGCAAACAGCAATCCGGAGAAAAACTGAATTGCCTTTTGCTCCAATTGAGCATGAAAGAGTGGTTTTCCTTGGGGAAAAGCAGCAAGACAAGAGGAAGTGTGGATGAACCCTCAGTCTTGTCTGTGCTGACTGGCAGCAGCTCTCCAGGATTTCAGACAGGGAATCCCTGGGAATGCCAAGAATTGATCCTGGGACCTTCTTCATGCAGGGCAGTTGCTCTACCACTGAGCTACATTCCTTTCCAAATACAGTCGTACCTTGGTTCTCGAACGCCTTGGTACTCATACGTTTCGGCTCCCGAACGCCACAAACCTGGAAGTGAGTGTTCCGGTTTTCGAATGTTTTTCAGAAGCCGAATGTCCAATGCAGCTTCCACTTAAGTGCAGGAAGCTCCTGCAGCCAATCAGAAGCTGCACCTTGGTTTTTGAACAGTTTCGGGAGTCAAACGGACTCCTAGAATGGATTAGGTTTGAGAACCAAGGTAAGACTGTATGTAAAAATAAAAATTGGAAGCTGCCTTATACTGAATCAGACCATTGGTCCATCTAGTTCAGTACTCTCTGCCCTGACCTGCAGTGGCTCTCCATGGTTTCAGACAGAAGATTTCCTCAGCCCTGCCCAGGGATTGAACCAGGGACCTTCTGTACACAAACCAGATGTTCTGCCACTGAGCTATGCCCTCTACCCCTTCTTCGATCAATCCTAATACACTTTGAACACATTGCAGATGCCTATTTCCCACCCGCCTATCTCCTTTCGCTTCCTTGTTGCACTTTCAAATAGTCTGCCAGGGCTACCAGCCTCAATCAGTGCAACCAATGGTGAAGTGTGAGGGGAATTATGTGTTGGAATTCCTGCTCCATGATTGCAGTCATGGGATTGTTGTCTTTCACACGACATGGTATGTTTTGACTCCACAGAGTGGGAAGTGATGGAGACAGGATGTTTGTGTTCCTGTGTTCCGTGAAGAGGGACTATTGTCCTTTGTTCTTTTTCTCTTTGCTGCCTGATGCTAGAGAGAGAGGGAGCCATGTTGCAGTGCTCTGTGTGTTTTTATGTAAATAAAGTAGATTAGCCAAAATGCTAAGTTGCTGAGGTCTGTCACGCAAGTTGCAAAGACTCTGCACATCCCTAGGTGTGCCGGTGTCTGTTGGCATCGGTCGCTGTGATGTTCGGGATGAAGAAAGCTATTGAAGCTCCCGAACGATTGACCAGGAGGGAGAGAACATTCCAGTTGAGCATGTGTCTCTGCCAGGGTGCTACTCGAGTGTAGGCAGAGCTCCTGACATTATCATCCAGCAAGATCTGGAGGACCACAGGCTCCTCATCCCTGATTTAGACTTCCATGCTTTTCTAGGAATTTTTAAGGGGCTACATTTGGTTTTTACTTGTTGTCTTTAATTTTTGTTAGTTTGTGATGGTTTATGTTTGGCTTTTATTGTGTTTCATTGTCTTTTTTCAGTATCACAGTGCTGTGGGAGTAGTTTAGATGAAGAACAATTTAGAAATGCATCGTTATGAGTAGGGGGTGGGGCACGGTTTAGTCTGCATACCTGAGTCCTTTCAATTCCTGGAACCAAGGCCAGGTTCTTGATCATGGCCCTCTAAGTATGAATCGTTAAGGTAACAAACCAGAGCTCAGTGTGTGAGAGAGACCTAGTCGCTAGAAGCAGGTGGCAGGCAGAAGCCTGGGAGGTAGAGACATGCTTGATTTCTGCTGGAATCCAAAGCTATGGCTATGGAATAAGCGAGACCTTGGGGTGTTAATGCTGTGATTGGGATGTTAATGTCATTGCAGGCTCAGTTTGTATATATGTGTAAATAAAACATATACAGTCATACCTCATGTCACGTTTGCTTCAGGTTGCACATTTTCAGGTTGCATCCCGCAACAACCTGGAAGTACCAGAAAGGGTTACTTCCGGGTTTCACCACTCATGCATTCGCAGGCGCGCAAAATGACATCGCGCATGCGCAGAAGTGGCGAATTGCAACCTGCACGTGCGCAGACGCGCAGACACGGGTTGCGTTCTTTTCAGGTTGCAAATGGGCCTCCGGAACGGATCCTGTTTGCAACCAGAGGTACCACTGTATTCTAAACCAGGGGTCAGCAAACTTTTTCAGCAGGGGGCTGGTCCACTGTCCCTCAGACCTTGTGGGGGGCTGGACTGTATTTGGGGTGGTGGTGGATAAATTCCTATGCCCCACAAATAACCCAGAGATGCATTTTAAATAAAAGCACACATTCTGCTCATGTAAAAACACCAAGCAGGCCCCACAAATAACCCAGAGATGCATTTTAAATAAAAGCACACATTCTACTCATGTAAAAACATGCTGATTCCCAGACCATCTGCGGGTTGGATTGAGAAGGCGATTGGGCCAGATCCGCCCCCCGGGGCTTAGTTTGTCTGCCCATGTCCTAAAGACACCAAAGTCCCTGCTGTCCATCATTCCAAGGAAACCAAACCCTGAGTAAGCACCTGGAACCCCTGGAGTAGGGTTGCCATATGTCCAGGGAAACCTGAGCATGTCCTCTTTTGGGGAGCAAACATGCCCATTTTTACATTTTAAAGGAAATGTCCAAGTTTGGGTTGGGGAAAGGTGTCTTGGGATTGGGTGGCTCAGGCTCAGCCTGCTCTGCCTGCCATGGCCGCTGCCAGCCTGAGCCAGGGAAAGAGGCATGAGGGCACAGCAGCGCCCCTACGTGCCTTTCTCCAGCTCAGGCTGGCAACGGCTTGAGCTGCGCTCTTTTTTGCTCTTCAAGATATGGCAAGCTATCCTGGAGTCTCGGACCGCTCAGAGTGGCATGCAACAATGTAGTATTTGATCAATTTGAACTGCTGAAATTGCCTTTTTACAAGTGCCACATAATGGCTGCATTCCAACATGGGGTTTATTGAGTTTTCCTGATTATAATGCTAGCAATTCTGTCCTGATTTCTAATGCTCCTTTTACACTGCAGTACCTGTTGGGTTACAGAACTGCAACTTTTTAATCAACATATCAGCACATAGTGCTAAATTTTAAACAGCAAAATATAACTGTATGTGAGGACATAGCCCAAAATTTTGCCCATGAAATTGCAATGTAAAACTCCTACAATTTTCTGAGTTAATGCAGTTGCAAATTGACTTTTTTCTGGAAACAATTAGCAGGGAAATGAGTGCTAAACGTCCGCTAGATTTCCAGAAGTGACCTTTACATAATGTGAAAAATCACATAAAATGTGGAAATTATCTGGTATGGAAATATCAGGAAAATGTAGTAAATTATTTTCTTTATGTAGCAAAATCTCATTCCATATTTGTGAGAGCTCAGTTCTTTGGTATGGGAGTAATTGTGCTTGGGAACTCCTAGGCAGCTGCCCTGTTTTACTGTTTTAGATACTTGCTAAAACCTTTTTGGTTCAGCAAGCCTATCAAGACATATAATTTAGTCACCTATATCTGTTTTAGCTTTGCATTATCTCTAAGCTTTATTTGTGCACAGCTGGGGAAACTGTTTTATCAAGAGTGTATATACAGTATATTTTTACATAAAGTTTACCATAGATATAAGAGAGAGGGAGAGAGAAGAAAATACAAATTGTTACAGACATACAAACTTGCTTGATAGTGTTGGTTAAAAGACAAAGCAGCCCAAGATATATATTTATGTTTTGGTGACATCTTCAGATTAGTTTGTGGGTCTGTTCTTGGAGATTACGACTGATACAAAATACTACTGGAACAAAGGAAGCTGACTTATACCAAGTCAGACTATTGAATCCATCTCAATACTGGCTGGTTGCCTGCATTAGGGGCAGCAGATGTGGGGCCCTCAGTTTTGTTGTTGTTGTTGTTACAGTGGTACCTCGGAAGTCGAATGGAATCCGGAAGTCGGTTCGACTTCCAAAATGTTCGGAAACCAAGGCACAGCTTCTGATTGGTGGCCATCTTCCAAGGGAGTCCATTCTGCTGTCAAACCACTCCTACGGTCAGGGACTGGGATAAAGAGGCAAAGGGAGGGAAGAGACAGTATTGAATTGTAGCCAAGCTATGAGGAAGATAATGAGACAGAGATGGGTGAGCAGCCAAGCTATGCTGAGTTAGGAGAATTAAGGGAAGGGAGAGAGCAGCCAATGAACACTTCAATAGACAGCGTAGAAGATCCTCCATCCCCTAGGACACGGCAGTCGTTGAGGGTACAAGAGCAATGTACGCAGCGATGTTTGGCAATGGGAGGCTTCCATAGGGGCTGGGGCTGTTGCGGAAGGGTAAGAGAGGAGGAGCCAGAGTGATCAACATCATGGAAAAAGACTGAAATTCTTCATCTGTTATCACAGTGAATGAATAAATCTAAATTAAAAGCTTTCTTGTTTTCTCCCAGCTCCTTGAAACCATCGGGAGGGGAGGGAGAGAATTCCTCAAGCCTGACACTTACCCTTAGAACATTCATAACAGAATAGCTCAGGGTAGTGGGTTCAAGCCCCACGTTGGACAAAAATATTCCTTGCAGGGGGTTTGATTAGATGACCCTTGTGGTCCAAATTCTATAATACTTTGATTCTATGATATTTCTCAATCTCCTTTTCACCAGACTAAACATACCCAACTCCCTCAACTTTTCCTCATAAGGCTTGGTTTCCAGACCTTTGGTCATCTTGGTCAATATTCTTGGTCAATATCCTCCAGTGAAGGAGAGTCCATCACCTTTCTTAAGAGTCTGTTCCACTGTCAAACAGCTCTTACTGCCAGGAAGTTCTTCATGATGTTTAGTCGGAATCTCTTTTCCAGGTTGAAGAGCCCCACCTGCCCTTGAGTTTGTCTAATCCTCATTTAAAGCTGTCTAGGATGGTGGTCACACACCCTCCCAGAGGCCTTCACAGTAGATTACATTTCAGCCATGCAAAAGCAGGCTTTTCTGCGTGCGCACACCCACACACCCCTCTGTCCTCCTTTCAGGGACACTAGAGGCATTGTCATAGTTCAAGGAGACAGCATAGAATCATCAAGTTGGAAGCTACCCCCAAAGGTGATCTAGTCCAACCCCCTGAAATGCAGGAATCTCAACTAAAACATCCATGACAGATGGTCACCCAACCTCTGCTTAAAAACCTCCAAGGAAGGAGAGTTCACCACCTCTCGTGGGAATCTGTTCCACTGCTGAACAGCTCTTACTGTCAGAAGAGCTAAACATCTTCCTGATGTTTAGACGGAATCTCTCTTCTTGCAACTTGAAGCCATTGATTCGAGTCCCACCCTCCAGAGCAGGAGAAAACAAGTTTGCTCTGTCTTCCATGGGGAGCCCTTTAGATATTGGAAGATGGCTATATCTCCTCTCAGTCTCCTCTTTTCCAAGCTAAACACACACAGCTCCTTCAACCGTTCCTCAGATGGATTGGTTTCAAGACTCTTGATCATCTTGGTTGCCTTCCTCTGCACACATTCCTTCTTAAATTGTGGTGCCCAGAACTGGACACAGTATTCCAGATGTGGCCTGACCAAGGCAGACTAAAGTGGGAGTATTACTTTCCGTAAGTTACTGACGCCCTGTATGAATTTCTCCAAACCCCTTTTAAAGCCATTCAAACTGATGGCATCTTGTGGTCATGAAACACAGTATTTAACTATGTGCTATGTGAAGAAGTTCTTCCCTTTGTCTGTCCTGAATCTTCCAACATTTTCCTTCATTGGATGATGCCCGGTTATAAGGGAGCCCTATCTACATTCTTCACACCATGAATAATTTTAGACAATTCTATCCCCCCACTTACACACCATTTGTCTAAACCATAAAACCCCAAATACTGTAATCTTTCCTCATAAGTGATAATGCTGTATCAACAAGTGTAGGAGTGCAAATATCCAGAGATGTAGTGATCAGGTGGGATTGCTATGAGGAATTATAACAGATCTAGAGTAAGCCATCTGTGTCAGCAATGAAAGCATTGCGTTGACTGGGTTTAAACTATTTTGATATGATTTTTGATCAATCTACACCTCTGCATCTCTGGCCCTTTTGACCCTACTGCCCATTTCTCTCTCCTCACGTCATGTACACAGCGTACACAGCAGTTGCTTCGCCAGGCAGGCTTCCTGGGCCATAAAGATAGTAGGCAAGTTCTTTGATGTAGTTTTCTTATATATAATCTTAAAATGTTAATCTTGGAGCCAGGAAACAGATCTCACATGAAGGTGGTAGTGATCTGGTCCTCCTGGCCATCCTTCTTATCATGTGTACTGATTGTTTATGACCTCCGGGGCTGCTGTATTCACTCCTTTGTAGTATTCATTCATTTACCCCAAAAGTATGTATGGATAACTAGTGTTTATAGTTTAACTTTGTCCCCACTTGAGGTTTGTTTGAATGCTCAGAAGAAATCTGATTGGTTCTTACGAACACTCTGTAAAAAGCTTTTTTGTGAATAAAAACGGCCTGGGCCAGGGGCTGCACATCGGACAAGCACAGAGAGACACGATTATACGCACCCTTCACAGAGTCTTGCTGGTTCAAGTCTCTGTGTGTATTCTTATTAATCAGAGTTCAATCCTTCCTTTACTTTCCAAGGTCATAGGAAAACTGTCCAAGTTGGTCACCAGCTTTCTTAGCAAATTCTATAGTTTTAACTATGTGCTGTGTGAAGGGATTGTTCCTACTGCCTGTCCTGAACCTCCCAACATTCAGTTTCACTGGATGAACCCAGGTTCTAGTCTTGAGAGAGAGAGAGAGAATCTTCTCTCTAGCCACTTTCTTCACAACATGCATAATTTTATACATTTCTATCATGCCCTCACTCTTACTTACACCTAAACTGTGTAGGGAAGCTCCTCCAACCCCTTGATAATTTTGGCTGCCGTTTTCTGAACCTTTTTCCGCTTCTAAAATATCATTTATAAGGTATTATTTGAGTAAAGCTTTTTAATCAGGTAAAGTAACCTGGGGTCTAAGCCCAGTGACTCCAGTTTGGACCATAACAGCCCCCTGTCGACTGAGTCAAAAGCAGCCTTAAGATCTAAAATGGCCACAAATAGGCCTTCTTTATGGTGCTGCGTGTACTTGGCGGCTAAATGGGATAGCACTGTACATTTAGGATTTCCCTGGACTAAATCCTGCCTGCTCTGGGCTTATGCCCACCTGGTGGAAACTCTAGTGCACATGGCCCTTAAATGTAAAATGTATGATGATCTCTGCCATCAATTTCTAGACCATCTATGTATTCCAACATGGAAACCAGAGACAGAGGTTATACGCTTCTTATTACAGGGGAGAGACCAGGAGTTCACCAAGACAATAGCTAAGTTCCTCTATTTAAATTTTTTGTCGCCAAAGTACGCTACAGGATCCTGCCCTTGCTGGAAACCCACAGAGATGAAACAGATTGCTTGCCTCTTCTTCCCTTTGGTAGGTGGCTGTGCTGTTGGGATGGCGACGGGATCACACTGGCTTATTTATTCTGAATGTATTCTGAATGTTCCTATGTGATGCTAATAAAGGTTACTTGACTTGATTTTTTAGGTGCAGTGACCAGAGGTGTACACAATATTCCAAGTGTCATCTCTCCATAGATTTTTGTTAAGGCATTTTAATACTGAGTTTTCTTTTTGCTGAATCTTTCAAACAAAAACTAAGCAAGAATCTGTAAATTAAAAAAAAATGGAACAGCAGCTTGATTATGAAGGAAAAAAATGGAGCAAACCCATTTTCTTTCAATTGCAGACAGCTAATGTCTTCCTGGGAGTATAGTAGAAGAAGCCTTTTGTTGTAATTTTTGAAACCAACTTTTGCTTTTGGTGTTACATGATTGAAATTTGCCTTTGAACCATGAATTGCTTGAGTTTTTCTTCCCCCAGTGGCCGATTGTTTGATTTTACACATTATTTATTCAATTGTTTATATCCTTCCTTTCCACTTGAAAATCCACAAGGAAGCTAACAACTTGATTTAAAAATCACAAACACAGACATACACCAATAATTAGAACAACAAAGAAATCAAAATGGTATTGACAGCAAGACAATAAGTCTACGGCATTGACTACAGTCAATTCCAGATTACGTGCATACAGAGCATGTATCCTGATCTGTTTGCACAGTTTGCAGAGAGATTAAATCACATCAGCTATTTATTGAACAAGAATTTGGATTTGTTTGCAAGTAGGTTAGATGGTGTTGTAGGAAGCAAATGTTATTCCACAGTTTCCTGTCCATTTCCCCTTCACTTTCCATGCTGCAAAAAGTCCAATGGGGGAAGAGGGCAGGTTTGCCAATGAGACTGACTCATGCCCCAAAAAAACAGCAGTCCTGAAGCACCCTAAGAGCAGCTGCAACTTCCCAAATGCTAACCAGAAAAGTCATGCCTTTGCTATAAATCTAAAGCATGAAAGGGAATATGATGCTTTTTCTCATCACCACTTCACTGAGAGGGGAAACATTCCACAAGTATAGTTGCTTACCCAGTGGAATCTCTGGGGGCATATCAAACATTATGTAACATTTATTTACAAATATCCAGTTTGGGCATGGGTGAGCCACACAGTTTAGAGATTTCTCTGTTCCCACATCAGGTCTCCAGGGAGGCAGCCAGCACCCCAAGATGCCCAAATTCATCTATCTTTTAAAATCTCAGTCAAAAACTGTCCCTTGCTTACATACACAAACACCTATCTAACCCTCTCTGCTTGGCAAGATGGGTGGGAGAGAGATATTTGGATCTGTTCTGACCATCAGCTTAGAATGTGCCTCTTATAGAGCAGAATTGTAGAAGTGTAGAGTTGGATTGGACCACAAGAGCTATCTAGTCCATCTTTTGCCCAGGGTGGGGCTTAAACTCACGACCCTAAGATTAAGAGTCTCATGCTCTACCAGCTGAGCTAAGTGGGATTCTTTTTCAGCTCAAGGGCCACATCTCCTTCTGCACAGCTTTCCAGGGGCCACGTGCCCATGGTAGGCTGGAGCAGAGGCAGAAGTGGGTGGGTGTGTATGAGCCTACTGTACAAAGGTGTTTATATATACGGGCCAAATGGAGAGGCCTGGAGGGTCGCATTCAGCCCCTGGCCTAAGGTTCTCCACCAGTGATATACAGCAGGTATGTTCAACTCCCAAGAGACTGCAATCTACTCCCACTATTAAAAAAAAAAAAAAAAAAAACTGGCAGTGATCTACCCATTGGATTTACCAAAGTTTTTTTTGGGGGGGGGGGCGCATCAGGATCTCACTATCAACCACAATCTGCCACGGACAACCCACGGTCAGCCAGCAGATCGCAGTCGACCTGTTGGACACCCCTGATATACAGCAAAGTTAGATGTTATGACTCACAGTGACTCCATTCCTAGAATCAGGGACTGCTCCTTTTTTTAAGCTCCCCCTTTTACCTGGAAGTCATCTGCCATCGCACCCTAGCCACTGCAAGTTGAACCTGGCATCACTTTAAGCCCACCCCCACCTCACACAACCCTCTGCCCCATCCTCTCTCTGTCATTCCATGACAGAACAGAATCAAATTAAAGTTCCATTTAGTAGCTTTATGGCCTATTATTTATAACACTTCGGCTCCAAAGTGCTGTTTTATAGAGTGGTTAAGCTGCCATCGTCTGGATAGACTTTGCCATAAATGTCTCGAAGTGCACAGAACATAATGTCCCAGTGTCGCAAAGGAAAAGGCAAGAGATTACTCTCAATTATTTCATATAGTCTGTTTTATTGTCTTATTGTAATAAACTGTCATTCCCCTACAACACTTTAAAATCAATAGTTTGCATTAAAAGTAATGAAAAGTAGTTATTAATCCCACTTAGTGCTTCAGCTCTCCTGCTTACCAAGATGGTCTTGGAGAATGAGGAAAGGGAGTAATTATTCATTTCCAATCAATAGGAACATTTCCAAATGGCCCTGTGTGTATCACCATTATCACTGCCATGTGAGTTAATAATGGTGGGGAAATAGGTCCCAGAACTCTGGCCTGTTGAGATGCTTTCCTGTGCCAGCGCCTCATGGGGTGCCCTTGCTCCAGTTATGAGAAAACAGATACTTCTGCAAAGCTGGTTACAATCGCAACATGAGCACTATTCATTCACAGTGGAGGATGGTCAATTGGGGCAGATAGGGCACTTCCTTACCAACCTCCATCTAACTTCAGTTAGTCCCCACCTTCCCACCTTCTTTACTTACAGTCCAACCAGCAGGTGGGCCGGGTTGTCAGCTTCCCCCTCCTTAGTCTTGCCCTTCTAGAGCTCAGCAGGAAGCAGGTTTGAGACCTAGGATTAGCTGGCTCTGCCTGTTATTGTCTCTGACTCCAGCTACTGTTGGCCTCCCTACCTTTCAACCAACCAGCCCTGATTGGAACCAGCCACCAACGGCCCCCATAACCCACCAGAGTCTCTCTCAACATTCCACATTCTGTTCTGGCTCCATCCCCAACCTCCCGTATTCTTCTACTACCACTAGGGCAACATAAGAAGGCATGGTTTTCCATTCTACCCTGTATTCATTTAATACAGCACTGTTTCCATTGCACTGCAGTTCATCTTCCATTTAAAAAAAAAAAAAAAGCCTGCATTATTTGCTTCGCTGTCCGCTATGGCAAAATTTTGTTACTTACACAGTCAATACATTATTCCATCCTATTCATTTCAGTGCAAGGGAAATGCAATGCAAATGGTGAACAGTGTGGGATGATGACACACAACCAAATATGTATTGTTTGCAGTCTGAAAGCAGGACCGTATTTGCTGGATTTATTTCCATTCTGGACACAGGGTGAATAAGCAAACAGGGGCAATTTCCACTCCCATTTCTGTTTTCATCAGAATTGTCTGACATCGCAAACCACCTCTAACCTTAATGCCCTGGTTCCTCCCTCAGGGCAAAGAATTAGTGCTTTGGAATTTAAATAAATAGCAATCCTTCCTGTACACTTTCATGGTTATGTAGGTAAGCTGGGGGCAGGATATTAATGCTCAGCTCCCAAGCCCAGCTATATGTGGAAACAACAACTCTGAAACACACACAAAAAACAACACCCAAACAGAACCATTTCTGTCTTTATATAAACTCCATTTAATCAAATTTTCTGATGTTTTATCGGTGCCTAGCTGGATGGATGGATGGATGGATTTACTCTGTCTTTGATACAATGTCATTCTAATGAAAAAGAACTCGGCAGCACATTAATTCCGAGGGACGATAAACATCAAAGTGTCTGCGTGCCTGCTGAACAGGCAGGGACGTTGCCATAATACGGGGAGGGGAGAGGGGGACAATTGCTATAGAGCCAGGTTCCATAGGGGGAGTGTAATACAACTTCATAATAACATGACAAAGAGCAAATAATTGTTACAGGGGATTAAAGATCAAGGGAGGGCTTGTTTTAATAAACTTCACCGCTGTCTTGTTTGTTGGAAACATTTGGGGTTAAACACTGCAGGAGCTGTGATCATGGAAAATGAATACGACTTACAATGTCCACAGTGGATTCTGAAGCACTTTTCAGGAAACAAACATTGTAGCGCATTTAAATAACAAAAATGTGGTGCCATGTAGTGGCTACGAGACTGAAGTTTAGAATTAGGAAGTCTCCAACTGGAACCTTCCTGCTGCAGTGAGCAGCCCTGAACATTCTATATATATGCTAAGTGGTTAGCTTGTTATAACAATAGTGGCCCATAGAGACCCAAGGAGGAGTGACCCACAGGTGGGAGTCCCCAGGCTCCATCAGAGCTTGAGCCCACTCTCCCACTGCTTTTCCCCACTTTATAAAATCTACATTCACACCATATATTCAAAGCACTATGATATCCCTTTGAACAGTCATGCCTCCCCACAAAAAAGCATTATGGGAATTGTTAGGAGTGCTCTTTAGGTGTCCCCTGGTCTCCTTTCAGGGCTACGGTTCCCAGACTGCCCTGTGAAGAGGGGTTGACTCTTAAAGCACCCTGGGAACTGTAGCTCTGGGAGGGGGTAGGTGTCTTTTAACAAATCTTAGGACCCTTAACAGAGTGCAACTCCCTGAATTATTTGGGGGAAGCCATGACTGTTTAAAGTGGTATCATAGTGCTTTAAATGTATATAGTATGGATGTGGCCAGGATCAGTGATGTAGCATAGGTTGCCAGGACCCTGGGCAAGGCATGTATTGCACCCCCTAACCCGTGGACCATTAGCACTCCCTGAGTCTGTGGAAAGACCAGTCCAGTTACTGAACTCCAGTATTGAACCCCTTCCCCCCTAAGCACATGTATTGTATCCTCAGTAAGTGTGTTCGGAATCCCTGCCTTCAACATGGAAAGTTGTGTGTGTGGCAGCAATCATGTGTTTGAGAAGCCAGTATGCAGTCCTTAGGCATGGCCGGTGATGGCTCCCCATTGAGTGTCAGCCAGGGCACATGCAGGCCTGCCCTCAGTGCTGTGTGAATGAGCCCCCTGTCCTGTGTTCTCTGCTTTGCAGCCACAAGGGCATTGCTCATGCTAGAGTTGCTCTCTGGGCAACTGCAAGTGATGACCTGGTTTCTGTAGACAAACAAAGAGCCCATTGGAAAGACAAAAGTGTTCTGCTTCTGGAAGCACAACAAGCAGCTGGAAGAGCAGTGGGACACACATACATGCCTTGACTACCTCCCTTTCTGAGTTACATGTGTCGGTGACTTCCCCACCTTGTTTTCCACAGATCGCCACACAGCATCTGAAGAAGTAGGTTGTTGCCCACAGAAGCATGTACCACTTTATAATAACACATTATCCAAAGTTATCCAAGCTGACAGGAAACATATTTTTCCACGAATTTCCCAGAATATTTTATCCTGTATCATTTTGTCCATGTGCCCCACATTTATCTAAATATAACCACAATGGCCTCATTCACATCAACACTTCAGCCCCTAAGCCCAGCTGTTGCCAGGCACTGACAGAATGCACTTTGCACATGGTCTGAACCTATTCTACCCATATCTGTGTAGTGGAAGTCTGATCTTTTGCTACTCTGTACAGATCTAGCCTCAAAACTCCATTGGAATAATTATGCTTTGCAGGGATGGCAGGGTAGCCAGTTTGGGATAACAAATCCACAGATTAGGAGATAACAAATCCACAGATTAGGAGATAACAAATCCACAGATTCCATGATGGTGCCTCTGTGGTTGCACCCAAGTTGTGTGGGTGGAAAAGAGGAGAGAGGTTCAGCCCCCCTCCTGCCTCTCTGCTTCTGGGAGGCTGCAAAGTTGCACACGCGCACACGAACACACTTCAGAGAGACGACCCCTCCCTGTAAAGTTGAACCCACCCACCCACCCACCCACACTAGAGGGATGATCCCTGCTTGCCTCCATGAAATTAATGTACCTAAGTAATTCATCTCTAGCCATTTCAATGGTTCTACTTAGCTGGATACAATCTCCTGTCTGAAGTCACTGAAATGCAGGAGAGAATGGATATAGAGAAATGAACAAAGAACTTATCTTTGGAAAGGTTTGGCATGTGTCAGGCAGTGCCCTAAAGCTGTGTTGTAGGTTTCTTTGGGGGGGGGGGGCTGAGTCCCTTCCAATTCTTGGAGTCCTGTACCCAGTGAGGGTTAGAATATAAGAGAGGAAGTTGCTGGACTTATCAGACAAGTTTATTTGTAAAGCATGACCTTAGCTGGCCACTTAAGTGTCTTCATTCCCAAAAGAATGAGCTAGTAATGATGTCTTTCCCCACCCCTCACCTAGGTGCTAGATAGGGGACAGTAACATGTGGTCAGTGGACTGGGGGACTAGGCTAGTCCCCTAAATGTTCCTGGTAAATTAGCGTATTACAGTATTAAAGCCTGACACCTCCTTCCCAAAGCCCATGAAGCTTCTGTCTGGCTTAGGGAGGGAGGTGCAATGCTCACATGCATGGTATCAGGATGTCAGGATGTTCCCCCCGCTCATCACCCTCGCAAGCTGGTGCCTCTGGCCACCACATGCCACTGGTAGCAGAGCCAAAGCCAGAGAGTTATGTTTCAGTAAGCCGGAAGCAGGCTGGAAGCTGGATATACATAGACATGTTTTCTGTGTGCTGGATCTAAAGCTATGACCAATGGAGAAACAAGATCTGTTGGGGAGTTCATTCCCTCAGGTTGTATATGAGTATAAATAAAGCCTATATCCTAAAGACACCACAGTCTCTGTGGACCTTCATTCCAAAGAAACAGAACTCTGTGTAAGTGCCTGGAATCCGTCTCTCACTGCTTGGTGATTGGGGTGGTGTGTTAACAGCTGTATCCTTGACCCACCACAATATTGGATGAAAGAAGTGATCTCATTCCCAGAAGTACGGTACTCAGCACCCACTTCTGCACAATGGAAACCAGGTCACTCTAATTTGGGCATGTAGGTATGGATTTCAACAGCACACTATTCAGGCAACATGCTGGTCTGCCTTTCCTGATAGAGCCAAGAATAGAATGACGATCAATAGACTTTTTGTCTTATGCTCAAGACTAAGGGATCAAGAAGAAGCTAAGTGGGACAGATCAAGTGACGAGCAAGTGAGCAAAGGAGAGCAGAGCTTGGTATGGCAAATGCAGGGGGAAGCTAAGATATGATCACCTGGTGACTCTCTTTACATTCCTCCCACTTCACTGAAACAAACCCAGGAAACAGATTGAGCAAGGAAGCTTGAAGGGTGATGAGCGGGAAATATAACAATGTGGTTCTTGCATGCACACATACAAAGGTTTTGCATGCCTTCAGACGAGGACACTGAGCCCAGGTCCTGCCCCCCTCCCTCCTTGCTGTCTCCCATCAAGCACAGTGATGCAGATGTTCAGAATTAAGAACTCCAGAGCACACATTTCCCTAGTTCAAAATTTCTGGGCAATTTATAAGCCGTAACTCTCCAACATCCAAGCTCAGGTTGCAATTTCTTTGGCCTCATCTCCAGGACCTGCCCACCCTCCCATTACAGCTTCCCTTCTCTCCTTTCCTATGAAATTTACTTGGTGACAGTAGCAGCAATGAGAAGGATTACTACTGCATCCTTTACTGAGCCATGCAACTGCTTTGCGGATGCAAAGACCCTGGGGAACGCCATTTCCCCGGGGCTCCTAAATCATTTCAGGTGATTATTATTGTTGTTGTTGTTAAAATTTATATACTGCCCTTCATCTGAGGATCACAGGATAGTTATACAATATAAAAACACAAAAATACATAACATGATAACCAACAAAACAATATCTCCCCATACTTAACATGGTTTAAAAAGACCATAGACTAATTAGCCAAACACCTGGGAGACGAGGAATGTTACATATCTTTAGGCGTCAGGTGAGCCTCCCTGGGGAAAGTCTCCATACATGGGGAGACCTGTTATTTTGTTGCCACTCTCCAGGCTTCTCATGGAGGAAAAACATAAAGAAAGACACCAGATGATGATTGTAGGGTCTGGGTTGGGTCATATGGGGAGAGGCTGTGCTTGCGGTACTGTGGTCCTGAGCTGTTTAAGGCTTTAAAGGTCAAAACCAGCACTTTGAATTGGTGTTCCAGAAGCCCTAGGAAAGTAATTACAGTTCCCAGAGATATTAGCATATGAGATACTGCATACCCTCCAAGTGTCCCAATTTTCCAGGGACAGCCCCGGAATTATGAAAGCCTTTCAGGCTCTTGATTCGATCCCAGAATGTCCCTATTTTGCCCACCATTGCTGCCAAGCTCAGGGAGGAAGGTGAGTTGATGTTTGTCCTGAGTGATGGCAGTGGTGGTTGTGAGGGAGCACCTTCCATGGCTACTACTGCTAGCCTCCTCCCTTGGGTGGCTCACAGCGGCTGCTGGGTGGCAGGAAGGCAGAGAGGAGGAAAGGCTGCTGTCACTGAGGCCCAGCCCTATGTAATGTGCTGGCTCTGAGGGGCGGACAGAGGGCAGGGCCACTCTGGGTGGGAAGAAAGGGGGAGTGGAACTGAGTGCAAGCTGTCTTGATTTTGTTTTCTAAAAATGCTATGTGCATCCGTGTCTAATCTTGCCCCTTTCTGAAATTTATTTATTAGTGTGGTTTTCTTTTGTTTTTGTAAATCTACCAAAGAATAAGATAAAATGAAATCAGGATTAGGGGGTTTCCTCAGGATGGTGGAGGCTGTGTGTGCTGTGTCCCGTTGGTGTAGTGGTGGTAGCACTCGCCCTTCTGCTGGGAGGAAATGCACGTGGGAGGAGTGAAAAATGTTCCTATTTTTATCTGAGTAATGTTGATACTGTTCCTGCAGCATTCTGGGAACTATTCGAACTGCAGCAGACCTCATTATCTAGCACTACCAAGTAAGTTTTTATGGGGAAGGAAAGTGGTTTTAGCAGGGTATTCTCAAAGAAATTGGGGTCTGTAAAGCCCCCTTTTTTCACCCCATTTCATCTACCGCAAACCATTCTTTTGTCATTTTCTTCACTACATGCAAATGGAACTGCAAAAATGGGGCAGCATTTCAGTTCACCCTGGCCACTTTAATCAGCTTGCCACATAGCATATGAGCCTGTTTTGCATGCCACTGCCTTCAGAGATAGACAGTGGCATTTAGGGCTTCTTTAGTGGTGACACCCCAACTGCAGAATATTCTCCCTAGTGACACTTGACAGGTGCCTTGTTTGCAACACCAGGTGAAGACAATAGTGTCCTCATGTGCTTTTTAATTGATTTTCTGTTTAATTGCTGCTCTGGTTTTCCTTCTGTGGTGCTTAATAGTTTATGGCTTTCATGTCATACAAACACTGGCGGAGGAACAGGGCTGCGGAGGGAGCGGACCACCCCCAGCACCACTATTCTGGTAGGGTGCCATCGCGGCGGACCCCCGGACACACACCATGCACCCCCTTGCGCGCTGGGCGCCACACCCCCACAGGCAGCACATCACACCCCCGGAACACGTGCCATGACCTCGCAGGCAGCATACCATGCCCCCTGAGGGAGTGTGCAATGCCCCCAGAAGAAGAAGAGTTTGGATTTGATATCCCGCTTTATCACTACCCGAAGGAGTCTCAAAGCGGCTAACATTCTCCTTTCCCTTCCTCCCCCCCAACAAACACTCTGTGAGGTGAGTGGGGCTGAGAGACTTCAGAGAAGTGTGACTGGCCCAAGGTCACCCAGCAGCTGCATGTGGAGGAGCGGAGACGCGAACTCGGTTCCCCAGATTACGAGTCTACCGCTCTTAACCACTACACCACACTGGCCAGCCATGCCCCCGCCTGCTCTCCGCCCCTGGTAGTGGAGCATGCAGCTTCGCCACTGCATACAAATAGCTAGCTGAGTTTTTTAAAAAACACTGTTAGCTACCTTGAAATAGTGGGGGGATTTTAGTGAAGGGATTGAGAACCTCAGACCCAGGGACCAAATGCAGCTGCCCAGGCCCAGGCTAGGAGCTCCAGTGGCACAATGGGTCAGTGTGTCTGGCTGTTAACCAGAAGGTTGGTGTTTCGAGCACCCAGAGACAGCTGTGGGCACGATTCCTGCATTGCTGGGGGTTGGGCTAGATGACCCTGGGGTCCCTTCTGATTCTACAATTCTATGAGTCTTTAGCCAGACCACAAAAACTCTTATCAGGCCACACCTTGCTTTTCCCTGGTTGGAATGAATTTTTGAACTGTCACCTGCTTGCCTGGAGGATGGACAGGTGTGATTGTGACTGCTTGCAGAGACCTCTGGTTTTGCATGGCTAGAATGCAGCCTACTGTGCAAAAATAGCAGTCACATCCATTGCTCCATCCACTTTTGCATTTTGCTACATTCGTTACTGGCATACGGCCCCTGGAAAACCTTCCCATGAGTAAATGTACCCCCTGGACTAAAAATTGCCCCGCATCTCTGTTTTTATGAAAGACCAAAAAAAAAAAAAAGCCTTTTTCCTTTTTTATTATTATAATACATAGCATTAAGGGACAGAGTTTACACATGTACTTCTTAATGCCCAATGCATTTGTGGAATTAATCACAGGATGAGCTAAGGGTAGGAGAGGATGGCGAGTGTTTCTTTCCATGTTGTTGAGGTATCAGCATGGTGGATGGACCATAAAAGTCATTAAAAGGCATAAAAGTCAAGTGTGTACAGAAGGGAAAGAAAGACACATTGCTCCAGCGGCTCACTGCTACAAGTAAGGAAGGGATGGCCCTTTCTCTGAAGATGATAGTCCTCTAATCGAGCAGTGACTTTATCTGAAATTAAAATCAAACCTGACATATGGACAGTGGTAGGAATGAATTATATCTCAGCGATGGCTGGAGCATTCCTTGCTAATTTTCTGCTTTATTCAGACAAGGAATGGTTTGAGAAGGGAAAGCAGAGATGGGGGGTGGGATTTCCCATGCTCCGAACTCTGCAGGCATCAACAGCTCTAGGATGGAGTAATATGAACAGTGAGCCACTGTGCAAAAGCACCAAGTGGGGTGGGTAGGGCAGATGGCTAGGTGGAGAAGGAATCCATTAAATATCTGAAGCATCCATGTCATGAGTCCCATGGAAATGTCATGAAGGAGATGGTCAGATCATGAGGAGGAATGGAAGGAGCTTAGTGGCTGGAGCTGGACAACCCTAGGGAGGGTCCAAGCAGGATGGGGGAGGTGAAATTTACTGACTGAGTTTACTTGTACACAGCTTTTCCACAATGAACCGTAACCCAAGCAGCTTACAGCAAACAGCCCAAATGTCAAAATACAGAGCATTGGAAATACAGATATGCAAAATACAGAACCTATCAGTAACTTTTTAAACGGCGAAAATCTAAAAAAATTGGCAAACAGAATAAATTCAATATTACAAACACACACACAATCTAGGCACCTGTAGAGACGTCTGATATCTGATAATTGTCTTGGGGGACGGGTGTCTCTCAATGGGCCTCATGCTCAGCGGTAGAGCATCAGGTTCAATCCCTGGTATCTCCAAGTAGGGCTGGGAAAGAATCTGTGTCCAAAACCATGGAGACCCACTGTCAGTCAGTGAGGGCAGCAGTGGAGCCTAGTACACCCTCCTTTCTCAAGCAGTTCATGCTGGGCATGCTGCCTTTACTGGCACACCGCTCCATGGAGTGCAGGGCCCTTGGAAGCGAGTTTGCTGGCCCCCTGCAAGGTTTGGAAGCTGCCCACTCTGATCCAATGATCAGTGACAGTGATAGTACTTGGGCAAAGGGTTTCCTGCCTTTGTGACTGGGCCACACTTGTTTAAACAGTGGTTACAGAAACATTTCTGAACAGTGAGGAGAGGCTAAAATCAGGGAAGGGAGCTATTCCCACATGTATAGAACTTTAGAGGGGGGGCGCTGAAGTCTAAAAATGCACTTCAGATAGGATGCATTTGTTCAACAGTGACAAAAAAGAAGAAGAAGGAAGTTCAAAATGCAGTTTGTAAACTCTCCTTCTTACATGGATCCTCAATTGATTAAAAACCCCAGTACATTTAAAATAGCAGACTTGTTGTTCACACATTCACACTGAGAGAGCATCAAAGGTGCTTTCTGGCAGCACAAAATTGCATGTGCAAATTGAAGTTATGTCCAGTAAAAGTACACCCACTGTTCTGACATCCCAGCACAGGGAAAGTAACATTATCCCATTTTCCTGCAGCTCATTTTACTGGCTATCTACTGTGCTGTGTTGCAAAGGGACCCTACCCTACTGTTGCAGTCAAAATATATACCATAGAATGGGATGGGGAAACTGTGGCCCTCTGGGTGCTGTAATTCAACTCCCACCTACCCATATGAGCCAACTCATAGGGGCCAAGAGGTCTTCCCCACAAATAAAATATTTGAGGGGCCCACCCCCCCCACCCCCCCACCCCAAGCTGATGGTCATTGCCATTCAAATGGTGTGTGTGCACCATGTCATTTGATCAATTCTGTGGGGTGGGGCTTACCTGCCTCCCCATACTATATTCAAGCTGGCATGCCTGCACCTGCCCCATTCACCATGGCCAATGGAACATAGGAAGCTGACATGAGTCAGATCATTGGTCCATCTACGTCAGTATCATTTACACTAACTGTTAGTGGTGCTTGAGATGCTCTCGAGATGCTCTGCATGCAAAACAAATGCTCTACTGCTGGGAAACAGCCCTTCCTCCAAATGTTCAAGGATGATAGGAGGTGGAGAGATGTAGAAGATACATACTGTGTCACCCATGATATAGAAGATCCAAGAGCTTGTCTGGCCTGCTGCCTACATGCAAAGTTAGACATATGCACCTCAACCACAGAAGGGCTTGCCGATCAGGTCAGCGGTTTGATTCCCCACGACAAGGTGAGCTCCCGTTGCTCGGTCCCTGCTCCTGCCAACCTAGCAGTTCGAAAGCATGCCAGTGCAAGTAGATAAATAGCTACTGCTCCAGCGGGAAGGTAAACGGCTTTTCCGTGTGCTGCTCTGGTTCGCCAGAAGCGGCTTAGTCATGCTGGCCACATGACCCAGAAGCTGTACGCCAGCTCCCTCGGCCAGTAAAGCGAGATGAGCGCCGCAACCCCAGAGTTGTCCGCAACTGGACTTAACAGTCAGGGGTCCCTTTACCGTTACCTTTTACCTTAACCATCCCCTGGTAAGAGAATTTATTTTCCTAGTCTGTGCAAAAATGTAAACTACTGGCAGACTGCCTAGTAGAAAGATCAGACTTACTTCTCTTATGTATGTATGGTTGTGCCTTTTTGCATACCTAGGTGAGAGCCAGTGAAGTGTAAGGGTGTGTTTGACTTGGAGACCAGGGTTTGAATCCCAACTCAGCCATGAAGCTCACTGGGTGACCTTGAGTAACAGCCACTGCATAACCCCCAACATTTCTCTGATGAAAATAGGGATGTCCTATTCTATAATAATAATGATAATAATAATTTTATTATTTATACCCCACCCATCTGACTGGGTTGCCCCAGCCACTCTGGCAGGCTTCCCCCCCTCCCACACACACACACATTAAACATTTAACAGCTTGCCTATGCAAGACTGCCTTCAGATGTCTTCTAAAGGTTGTATAGTTACTTATCTTCTTGGCTTGGGGATCTCATAACTCCATACTCTTCAACATTTATCCAGTGAAAATAGGGACGTCGTAAGGAAAAGTGGGACATTCTGGCATCAAATCAGAAACAGGGATAGTTTCTGTAAATTTGGGACTGTCCTTGGAAAATAGGGACACTAGGAGGGTCTGTCACTGTCTCTCAAGCTACCTTGCCTCACAGAGTTGCTGTGAGGTTAAAATGGGGAGGGGAGGCTCATGTGCACCACATTGAGCTCCTTGGAGGAAAAGGTCGTATATAAATAAAATGAATAAATAAGAAGAACATAGGAAATTGCCTCATACCAGCTCTGACTATTGGTGCAGCTTGTGCAGTAGTCTTCCCCAACCTAGTGCCTTCAATGTGTTTTGAACTCCAATTCCCATCAGCACAGCCCAGCACAGTCAGTGGTCAGGGATGATGGGAATTATAGTCCAAGCCATTTGGTTGCAGAAGGGCTGGTATATGCACTGCCTGGCTTTTACCCTCCAAGGTTACATGCAGTGATCCTTTCCAGCCTAGGATTGAACCTGGGGACTTCTGTATGCATAGCAGGTATGTTACCCTTGAGCTACAATATGTTCCCTTTTTCTGCACTGAGTTGTGGTCCTTCCCCCATTCTTTTCCCTCCTAGTTCATGTAGCCAGTGGCAGAGGAGCTGGGTGGGTAAGATATGTGGCTCTGCTAAAATGAAACTGACAGCAAGGCTGTCTGCAACACAACTGAATTTCAAAGCCATTCTTGCCAATAATGAAATGACTCTAAAACAGAACGTAATCAGTAATTCACATTGTAAGGCAAGTCTAATTGCTATGAAGAGGGGGGCTCAAATGGGTTTTGGAAAAGGTTCCACTGATGTATTTCTCATTGAGTTTGGTGAGGTCACAAGATAATGGGACATCCATGCTCAAGTGTCATATAAATCAATCTTCAGAAAATCTTCAATCTTTGTTTAATGGTAAAGGAGAGCAATGTTGCTTCCTTCAAAGCATCAGAAAACTTTGTGAGGTTTCAGTCTTTGGTTTTCTGTCTTCAGCCAAAAGGAAAGTGATGTTAAACCTGGTGATAGCCTCATCAGCTGCATACAAGGGTACTAAAGGAACCTGCGGATGTAATCTCAAAGCCTTTGTCTATCATCTTTGAGAAATCTTGGAGAATAGGTGAGGTCCCTACAGACTGGAGGTGGGCAAATGTTGTCCCCATCTTCAGAAAGGGAAAAAAGGAAGACTCAGGTAACTATTGACTGGTGAGCTGACAATGATACCACAGAGGGTCCTAGAACAGATACGGTAATTCAACAGTCAGTCTGTAAGAATTTAGAAAAGGATGCTGTGATTATGAAGACCCAGCATGGGTTTGTCAAAAATAAGTCATGCCATACCAATCTGATTTCTTTATTTAATGGAATTACAAAATTGGTGGATCAGGGAAATGCTGTGAACATAGTGTATCTTGATTTCAATAAGGCTTTTTGACAAAGTCCCCCATAATATTATTGTGAGGAGGCTGGTAAAATGAGGGTTGAACGAGGTAACTGTTAGGTGGATTTGTAGCCGGTTGACTGACTGGAAAAAAAGTGACAAATAGGGTGCCACAGGGTTCTGTCCTGGGCCAGCTGTTGGTCAACATCTTTATAAATGACTTGAAGGAACTGAGGGGATGCACATCAAATTTTCAGTTGACACCAAACTGGAAGGGGAGCTAATGTCACAGAAGACAGAATCAGAATTCAAAATGACCTTAACAGATTGGAGAACTGGGTCCAAGCTAACAAAATGAATTTCAATAGGGACAAATGTAAGGTTCTGCACTTAGACAGGAAGAACCAGATGCACAAATATAGGCTTGGGAACACCTGGCTTACTAGCGAAAGGGATCTAGGGTCTTGGTGGACCACAAACTTAACATGAGTCAACAGTGTGATGCAGCAAGGGAGAAAAGTTAACGCTATTCTAGGCTGCATCAGCAGAAATATACTGTCCAGATCAAGGGTAGTAAATCTCTGTTGCAACTGCAGTGGAAATGTTTCATGCAGGTATCCCAGAAGGAACTAGTTGGCCACTTTGAGAACAAGATGCTAGAGTAAATAGCCCTTTGTTTTGATCCAGCAGGGTTCTTCTTATGATGTTAAATTCTTACTGTATATACTACAGCAATAGAGAGTCAAGAAGACCCTCCCTGTTTGTCTAGTTGTAAGTTGTTTTAACTGATATTCATCTTGTATTTTTAAATTATGACCCGTTCTGGGACCTCATGGTGAATGCTGATTACGGAATCTAAGAATAATAATTGTTCCCACAGTGCCCCTGACATAGTCCTGTTTGCAGCTCTGCTGTTGGCGCCTGCTATCATTGCCAGGTAAACCTTCCAATACCTAGGTGAAGGTAAAGGGACCCCTGACCATTAGGTCCAGTCGTGGCCGACTCTGGGGTTGTGGCGCTCATCTCGCTTTATTGGCCGAGAGAGCCAGCAAACAGCTTCCGGGTCATGTGGCCAGCATGACTAAGCCACTTCTGGCGAACCAGAGCAGTGCACAGAAATGCAGTTTACCTTCCTGCCGGAGTGGTACCTATTTATCTACTTGCACTTGATGTGCTTTCGAACTGCTAGGTGGGCAGGAGCAGGGTCCGAGCAACAGGAGCTCACCCCGTTGTGGGGATTCGAACCGCCGGCCTTCTGATCGGCAAGTCCTAGGCTCTGTGGTTTAACCCACAGCACCACCCACCCGCGTCCCTACCAGTTGTTAAATGTAGGTTCTAGTGAGCCTGCTCTCATAGAATCATGGAATCATAGAGTATGGCTGGGGATGGGCTACGGCTCAGTAACAAAGCATATTGCTTTGCATGACAAAGCTCCCAATTCCAAGTGATGGAGTGCAGCAGGGTCAGTTGGGGTGAAGTACTACTGATTATTCCACAGCAGGGATTATGATGTCATCTCCTGGGGCGCTTTAAGAAAGTCCTCTGCATAGCAAATAAATAACCATTTCCCAGAGAGAAACCCACCTAGTCATCTAAGATAAGCAGAGGAAGAGGGAGGTTGCATTAGCATGCAATGCTAAGGATAATTACATTCGATATTTTGAAAAATCCACTAAGTCCGTATATTATAATTGATCAGCCATGTCACAAGAGAGTGAGCAAATCTGTGAGTCCACCAGAACATTCCATCAGGCTAGATGTGAGCAGAGGTGGGGTGAATGAGGTAATAATAATAATAATAATTTATTATTTATACCCCGCCCATCTGGCTGGGCTTCCCCGGCCACTCTGGGCGGCTTCCAAAAGAATATTAAAATACTATAATACATCAAACATTAAAAGCTTCCCGAAACAGGGCTGCCTTCAGATGTCTTCTAAAAGCCTGGTAGTTGTTGTTCTCTTTGACATCTGGTGGGAGGGTGTTCCACAGGGAAGGCGCCACTACCGAGAAGGCCCTCTGCCTGGTTCCCTGTAACTTGGCTTCTCGCAGTGAGGGAACCGCCAGAAGGCCCTCAGTGCTGGACCTCAGTGTCCGGGTAGAACGATGGGGGTGGAGATGCTCCTTCAGATATACTGGACCAAGGCCATTTAGGGCTTTAAAGGTCAGCACCAACACTTTGAATTGTGCTCGGAAACGTACTGGGAGCCAATGTAGGTCTTTCAAGACTGGTGTTATGTGGTCTCTGCAGCTGCTCCCAGTCACCAGTCTAGCTGCCGCGTTCTGGATTAGTTGTAGTTTCCGGGTCACCTTCAAAGGTAGCCCCACGTAGAGCGCATTGCAGTAATCCAAGCAGGAGATAACCAGAGCATGCACCACTCTGGCGAGGCAGTCCGCGGGCAGATAGGGTCTCAGCCTGCGTACCAGATGGAGCTGGTAAACAGCTGCCCTGGACACAGATTTGACCTGTGCCTCCATGGACAGCTGTGAGTCCAAAATGACCTGGTCCTTCAGGGGCACAGTTACCCCATTCAGGACCAGGGAATCCTCCACACCTGCCCGCCTCCTGTCCCCCAAAAACAGTACTTCTGTCTTGTCAGGATTCAACCTCAATCTGTTAGCCGCCATCCCAGGTAGGGAAAGCTGCCTTGGTATCAAAGCTATAACATCTGCACTGGTTTAAAAAATCATTTTTGCTGTGCAGGCTTGGAAGGCTATGGGGGTTGTCACCACCCTGGGTTCAATTTTGTGGAATGCTCTCCACAGGGGAACATGCCTGGTGCCTTCACTGTCAGTTTTCAACCACAAGGCTTCACCCAGGCTTTTAGTTGTTAATTTGGATCACACCTTGGTATGATGGCAGTCTTTTCTATGGTGCTCATCTTTTAGGGGGCAGGGAGGCCTGCAATACTTCACTATCATCTTCTAATATTACACAGTAGCAAATCAATATTCAATGTATTTCATAGTGTGCAAGATGATAAGTTCTGCCCCAAAGAGCTTACAATCTAATATTTGACACAAACAGAGGCCATGGATGCCATGCAGTCACAGCCTTCCTCCCATACTTTGCTGGGGGGCGGGGGGCTTCTACTAGCTGCTGGCATGTATGCTATGGTGTGGCAAACTTACCCGTTAATCTTTGCCTTCATTCCCAGCCAAACACACACTTGCACAAAACCAGCAATAACCTTGGGGAGATGAATGACCTTGAGAGATTGCAAATATATTGCCTGTCATCCCTTAACAGAGCTGCCTCTGGTCCAGAGCTCCTCTCTGCGTTTGCTTGGCTAAGTGCAGGCCCTGAGAATACCGCAGAGACACACGACTCATTACAAGGCACATAGAAAATGTGTGCAATCTGTGGAGAGGCAAGGATGGAGGAAGGAACACTATGACTTAAAGACCTCCCCACTGTGTGTGTGTCTCCCCCCCCCCCCATTCTTCTTTTTGTGCATTTCTTGGAAATTTAAAAGGTCGCCAGGAGCTAATGAACCTCGGATAGCAAAGCTGTCTCCTGTTTGTTTGTCATTTTGAGTTTTTCTGGTTGATTAGGATCCAGCCTGGCAGGAAGGTATGAAATAACAAGTGCCTGGGAGTTAAGAGAGGTCACATTTTGTTTCCTGAAAAATGCTGAATTGACTGTGGAGGGGGGAATAGTTTGTCCAGAACACTAAATGGAGTGGGGGGGGGGAGAAAGAAGAGCGAGAAAGTGCAGTAGTGCCACAGAAATAAACACACTGTTCTCTGCCTCTACCTACCCTTTAATAGATCTCTTTACTTATCATTTTTTTAGCATACCCCTTCTTCGGTAAATCTATTTCTTTCTCCCCTTCACCAGCCCCCGGTTACAGAACTCAGTGACTTTGCCACCCAAACAAAAGGGAACTATGTTAGAAAGTTGGGTTGACTCATTCGATTGGTTAGAAGGTGGGGTTGAACTGCTTAAGCATTGCAGACTACAGTATTTCTGTGTGAGAAGCTTGGCTTTATTTATTCATCTGCCATCCCTTTAACAATAAATCCTCTGGGCAACCTACAAAACGCTATTATTATTAACCGTAAAATGTCTTTAAAAAATGCAATGCAAACATAAAATTGAAAGCACCACCAGAATAAAAACAGAAACAAACCCCAGGACAAAGTAAATGGGGTTCCCACTGTCTAAAATGCACTCAGGCAAGTTCAGGTCCATAGTCACTCGCTCAACCAAGTGAATAGTTGTGGACAAGTACCACCTGGATGGGGAACACTGAACCAGGCAAAAGAAGTCAAGGGAGATGTGAATCAAGGCTGGCAAGGAGTGCGTCTTGAGAAGGCTGGCCACATCTGCCCCCAGAAACTAAGGTTCCCCACCTCTGCCCTAGAGTTTCCTTTACAAGCTCTCTCTGCCCCCTGCCCCCTTGTAATGAGTGTTTACCTGTACTCCTGTTCCTGCCTGTTGGCCTTGTTTTGGTTTCAACTGTATTATAATCATCATACCTCCCTTGGCCCGATACAACCTTAGTGTTCAAAAATGTTACTTTACTTGCTTTTATTACATTTCTATCCCACCTTTCTTCCAATGAACTGTAGGTGATGTGCATGGTTCTTTCCTTCCTCATTTACATGTCCTGGTATGCCCCGCAGAGGACCTTAAGGTCCATGAATAACCATAGTTTAGAGGTCCCGGGCCCTAAGGAAGTCAGACTATCCTCCACCAGGGCCAAGGCCTTTTCAGTGATGGCTCTGGCCTGGTGGAATGCTCTGTCCCCTGAGACTAGGGCCCTGCAGGATTTAACCTCCTTCCAGAGGGCCTGTAAGACTGAGCTATTCCACCTGGCTTTCAATTTGAATTTAGCCTGATCTTTTATTCCCCTCTCTTCCCTTCCCCTCCCCTTTTATGAAGATTACCTGCTCTGAGACCCCACAGCTAATTCTCCCCTGGCCTCCTCGCTGGCCCAAGTAGGACTCATTCAGCCAGCTAGCCCTGGTGATTATCTAAAGCTTATTAGACGGATTTCCCCTAAACTGATTTCTGAACTTTGAATTTTATTGTTATTCATGTTTTTATACAGTATTTTATGTTGCTTTTACAATTAAGTGTTTTAAATTTGCTGTTAGCCGCCCTGAGCCCAGTTTTTGAACCAGGAAAGGCAGGGTATAAATAAAAATGTATTATTATTATTTCATTCTCACAACAACCATGGGAGGTAGGACAGGCAGAGAAAGAGTGACTGGCCCAAGTGAGCTCTATAGCTGAGTGGGGATTTGAAACCCAGTCTCCCAAGATCCTAGTCCAAATTTCTAACCACTACACACACAACCCTCCACACCGCCTCTCTCTCTCAATCTGTTCTAACACTGCTTTTGATTGGCTCTAGTTTATCTTACAAGGTCTGGACATTCTATATGCATACTGCGAAATATAATTTAGTTTCAGTATTATTCTAATGGCAATGGATTTTCAGGATCTGGTAACCTGTACCTGTTTCTCCCCACTCCTGGGCTATCTGCTGTGTTTGACCCTGAACTACATTATAATTCACTCCTGGATTTCTGCCATCAGTGGGGATGGATGATCTGGCTTTTCAACCACTGCTGATTGCAAAGCTCCCCAAGAACAGAGGCCAAGGCGTGTAATGAAAGCTACTGTATACAATCGTAACCGCAAGGGGCAATTTAGGCAGATAGAATACAGTTACCCAAATTACAATTTAGCCAGGGCATAAATCTTTCAGCAGTAATAATAACACTTACCCCGGCTATGCAGCTTTGCATGTTCAAAGCACAGATAGTAATTTGTGTGTCAGAGGTACTTCAGCCCCTGGAAAATTATTAACCATCAAGGAAGTTGCTCCAGCTGTGAGCTCCCCCGGTTTCAAATTTGCAAAAGTGGCTTGGGAATCTGTGCTCAGATTATTTTTCTTTGGCCAACCATTGCAGAAACCTGCAACTCTGAATGGGAAGAGTAAAAAGAAAAACAACAAGACGTGACAACCTTTCTAACATGCCAGAGCTGAGGTTCTCATTCAGCAGGCTTTAATCCTGCCGTGGCATCCTGATGCCCTCTGGATTAGGGCACAATAAAAGACTGGAAGAATGCATTGCAGTATCCACCACTCCTCAATAAATAAATAAATAAATAAATAAATGACCCCTCCAAATTTGAAGGTCATGGCCCCATTGTTCCCGAAGGAGATGTTTAAAAAGCAGTATATTTCAGTAATAGGTCAGCACCATTGAAATAAGCTAAAAAACACAATAAAATAATTAAATCAGCACCACAATAAGACCTTTAAGATGAAGCAGTATGAGATGGATACTCAGCTGGATAGCTCAGTTGATTAGAGTGTGGTGCTGATAACGCCAAGCAAGGCTGCAAGTTGTACTAGACCAGGTTTCCTCAACCTTGGCCCTCCAGATGTTTTTGGCCTACAACTCCCATGATCCCTAGCTAGCAGGACCAGTGGTCAGGGGTGATGGGAATTGTAGTCTCAAAACATCTGGAGGGCCGAGGTTGAGGAAGCCTGTACTAGATGATCCTCAGGGTCCGTTCAGACTCTATGATGCTATGATTCCGTGGGAGAGCTTTTAAAGGCCATATTGAAAGGGCCAAACACACAGTGGTTGGGAGGGAGCTCCACATGTGTGAGGCAACCAATTTTACAGATCTTTGAGCAGGGCCTTCATCATTCATCTGAGCCAGGGCAAGCTCATTCAGGTAAAGACTGCCTTGCAGCTATCTGCCAAGCAGACTGGGTATTCTATTTCCTGCATCTGACAACATGAGCACAGGAAGCTGCCTTATCCTGAGTCAGATCCTTGGTCCGTCTAGCTTTGTATTGTCTACACTGAGTGGCAGCAGGTCTACAGGGTTTCAGGAAGCGGTTTCTCTCTCTCTCTCTCTCTACTGAGGACTCAAGATGCAACTTTCTGCATGCAGAGCAGATGCTTCACCACTGAGTGATGGTCCTTCCACATGAAGGCTTTTGTCATAATACATTTGATAGTCTGTTTACTTCAACAGACTAATATGGCTGCTCCTCTGGAAATTGGTACTGTTAGAGCAATTGCTATTATTTATTGCCCCCAGTTACCATTCTGTGTGTGAAATAACCATGCACACTTCATATTTATTGCCCTCGGTTACCTCCATGTGCAAAACAACCATGCACACTTCATATTTATTACCCTCAATTCCCATTCCAAGTGCAAATTTAGCATGCACAGAAAATATTTTGTAGGATTTGTCCTTTTTATAGTATCGCTGGATGAGCACTTTAGGAATTCAGTTTATAGTGTTTCCTTTCCATTTTTGTATCTGGTTTCTAACTGGTTTCTAATTGTTTTTGCATTTTTATGGAATTGGAAGTTGCTTTGAGACTTTTACAAAAAGCAACAAATAAATGCAAATAATAATAATAGTTTGCTGTCCTTGATCACCTTTCCATGTGGATAACAAGCATATACAGCAGCTCATATTTATTGCCCTCTTCACAATTCCATGTACAAATTAAGAGCAAACATGTAATTTTTGCTCCCCTCGATCACCATTCCAAGTCAATAGCATAGCACCCCCCACCAGTGCCTGGTGAAGTGTGTGAGGGGTGTGGTTTGCAGGTGTACAACCCAAGGGGGTGGGGCATCCCAAGTGGGTGGGGCAAACAGCACGGGGTGCGCCACCCAAGCAAATGCATCCCTCCCACATTTGGTTTTGGGACAGCTTCCCTCTCCCCACCAGGTGAGAAGGTGGTTTGGCATTTTGTCAGAGACTGGGAAGAGGAGGAATGGTGAAGACTGCCTCCCCAGCTTGTCCCTTCCAGGGAAGAGGAAGAGGAAGACAGTGTAGATTTACAACAGGGGGTTGAGGGAAGTCATAGCTCAGAGACAGATGAGGGGGGAAGTTGGGAAATAGTGGGAGAGGAGGAGAAGGAGGAAGCACCAGGGGGGTAACAGCTGACAGACACAGTGTCTTTAGAAAGCATTCCAGACCCCCCTCCTAGAACACAGCAGGCCTTGAAAGTAGGAGAGCAAAGAGCTCAAAGGCAGAGGACACATAGCAGCACCCGTTCCACAAACGAGGAATTGGGAGAGATGGCAGGATGTAAATTCACTCGGGATAGTGCCATTATCTAAGAGGCTGGGTTCTATAGCCTCTCTCTGTAAATACTGAATAAAAAGCGGACAGTAAGAAAAATTCCCTTGTCTTTGTACATTCCTGGGCAACCAGCCAAGATTCGCTGGCAGCATCCTGACACATTTTCTCTCCAAAATAACTTTTCTTCTTGGGTTCTTCTGCCCCACCCCTCCACTCACTCACCTGGCTCCACAGTTTGCCAGCTGCTCCAGTGCGGTTTGCCAGCCCTCCCTCCCAGGAACAACCCAAAGTTAGACCTAAACTTTTGAGAAGAGGCCAGGAAGGAAATAGGTGCCACCCAAGAGCTGCCAGCCAGCCTTGGAGGGGGAGGGGGACTTGGAGGGGCAGAGCTGGCACTGTGCCTCTGTGTTGCCCCCACGCTACCTCTGCAGCTCTTGCTCCTCCAGGCTCTCCAAGAGTTACTGCGGGAGAGCCACTATGAAGGAGTGGATGCCATGTTGCAAAAGAAAACCAGAAACAAAGGGAAACGTTTTTTTCAACATGCTGATCAGCTTTTCTTCCTATGGAAAAGAGGCAACTCGCAGAATGGGTGTGATGCAAAGCACAGCCACCTCTGAAGTGACCTGTGTCAGCCAGAGACATAGCTGGGGGGGGGGCTCTAGCCAGGGTTTCTGTCCCAGGTGAAGCCTCCAGAGGGGCGCCATTGAGGCTCCCAGCCTCCCAGCATGTCTGGGCTTCAGCCGGAGAGAAAGATGAAAAAGTGAATGGCAGCCGCAAACTCCGTCCTTCTTCGCCTTTCCCCATGAAGCTGAAGAAGGCTCATCTGCAAGGAGAAGGAGAGTTGGGAAATCTGGAGAGGCTGTGTGGCTCTTCCCAATGAAGCAAAAGATAAGATCCCCTGTGGGTTTGCTACTGTATGTGAAAGAAACTCTGGAGGGATGGAGGGAGGGGTGGGAAGCTGCGGAAGAGAATCAGTTGGACTAGATGATCCTTGGGGTGATTCTATGAACACTTCAGAGCTTAGAATGTGTTTAAACAGCTAAAGTTGGGTCATTTTACAAAGTATACATGATCTACACACAGGAAAGTAAAGGGTGGGTGTGTGAGCATTTTTCCTGCCAGAGGCAGTTCCCTGACAAGTTTTGGTCAGCTTGGCTGCATTAGGATTGTAATGGAAGGGCACTTTCTACTTTAGACTTGCAAAAAGCATTTCTTCCCTTAACATGGAACCTAAAATGACTACAAAATTATCATTTCCTAAAATGAGTAATCAAACAAAAATAAAATTGAAAGGAATCTTGTTGAAGCTTACTCATGAGTAAATTTACACGACAAAACTCCTTGAAAGGGTTTGCACAGAACCAAGAAGGTGGGTGGGTGGCATAAAGTCTCAAAGATGAAAAAAAAATTTTTTTAAGGAAACCAGAGGGTCTGGGCTGATCATATGAAAATGCAGTCTCTTAATGATCCTGTGACCAAACAAATCCAATTCAAAACCTGACCTTGGATAGACAATTGTTGCACATTGAAGTTCTACTTTTTACTGGAAGAGATGCTCATTTTCCCTTTGGTCATACGGTTGTAATACTTCTTAGGATTACTTTATGTTCAAATGATATATTGTCTGCTTTTTATGCTCTTTACGAATAAATGTGTTGAGGTGTGTGGGGGGGTGTGTTCATATGTATGTATGTATGTGTATGTACTGTATGTACACAAACATACATCTGGGGGTGGGGTGCCAAACTGGGTTTTTGACCCAGGTGACAGAAAGCCCAGTTTCACCCCTACTGGATCCTGCCCTGAAGGCTTGCTTGTCCCACAGTGTGCCTCACACTGCTTTTTCAGGCAGCGCTGGGCCTGCTGGAGGGCGACCAGGAGGGGAGGCAGTGACTGGGGTCCCCTGCAGCCCCAGTGCTGTCCAGGGTGCCCCTCCCCCTCCCATTCCTAAGCTACTCTTCCGAGTGATAACAAGTATGCACAGCTCCTATGCATTGCCTCTCCATCACCACACCAAGCTGTGTCAACTCTGTTCAATAAGTTTGCGGAAAGAGATATAATGGGGGAAAGAGACAATAAAGCCCCCTGCCCCCAGGATCTTCAGGGCTTGAATAACTTTCCTAGGCACAATTAAATGGAACACAGCACTCAGATTTAGCCTGCAGCAGAGATCCCAATGGGGGCAATGCAATCTGAACCTGCAAAGCCTAAGCTTCCCTTCACTTTCTCTTCCTTTCTTGCTCAGAGCAACGAGGGAAAGACTGAATCATTTGGTGGAAGGGAAAGAAAAAAAACAAACCCAGAAACCACTGCCATCTGAACTTTAATGGCTTAGTTTCTTGTAGCTGGAGGCAGCGGTTCATATGCATTCCAAACAGTGCTTTGAAAGCAAATGTACCATTTTGGAAGCTATTCTACCTGAAAAACAATATATTTCATCTGCGTTCCCCCTGCATCCTCGCAGGGCCAAGAGAACACATCAATCTGAGGGGGGTGGCAGGTTCACACATGCAAGTGAGATGTCTGGGAAGGGAGAGAGTCAGAAGAAGGTTGATCCATCGCAGGTGCAAACCCCCACCTCCCCCCTACAATAGCTTTTACTGGAGGCCCCCAAAGCACTGGGGTTCTGAATGACTGTAGGGTGGGAAGTGATTCAGGAGGATGAATCAAATCAGTCTTCTCTGGTTTTCTTTTCCCAAACTCTCCACACTACATGTGTAGGTTCAGCCCTGGCCAGACCTCAGACCTGGCATCTCCTCATGGTGCTTAATAAGAGCCCTGCTGGATCAAGTCAAAGGAAAGCTTGCGCAGAAAATGAGGCAAGATAGAGGCTGCTCACCTATTACACACATCATGCTGCAGCAAAACTTCCACAGAGCAATTTTCTGTAAGGCACGGGTGATGCATGTGCATATGTCTGGCTCCTGCTGGAGTTTTGTAAATATATTGCAGCTGTGTGCAGAAAGAAAAAAAAAACTGGTAAGACTGCTGGTTGAAAGGATAAAGAAAACCCAAGGTTTATCGTTCATGACAAACTAAGCCGTTCTGCATAAAGGCTTTATATGTGGCCAGTATGGAGTCAATAAGTGAAAACTAGCACATGCAAACAACAAATACTGACTAAAACCCCAGTGCTTTGGGGGCCTCCAATGAAAGTTATGGTAGGGGCGAGGTGGGGGTTTGCACTTGCGATTGATCAGCCTTCTTCTGACTCTCTCCCTTTATCCAAGCAGTGGCACCATCGGGGGGGGGGGCAAGGCAGTGTCCCCCCCCAAAAATTTTTCAAACAGGGGGTCAGGCCTGTTATGTGTAGGAAAATAAATTTTGATGATATGCGAAGAAGCAGAGTAGCTTACAGCTAGGAAGCTAAGTAATTCTTCTAGGTGATTGATAGCTTCTTTGTAAAGACTATACAATGTCCAGACTCTTTGTATTCAGAAAAACTTTACTTTCATAAACATATAAATGATAACAATATATTTATTCAAACATGGGTATGTTCTCACTTGTAGATGGAAGTCTTCTTCCGTAGACTTATAAATAAAAGCTGTGGTGAGACTTGCACCAGAGTTTTACCTCACTCAGGCCTTACAGCTTCTTATAAGAAGTTTTTACTTTCACCTCAGCAATATTTTATCTGTTCCTTACAGAGAGCTCCTGCACAGGTTTCTCCCAATTAATGTTTAGGGATCTTCCTCTGTATGTTTCACTTCAGACAGATCACACTAACACAACACTGCCCTCCGCAGTGGGAAGCCTCTCAGCAGCCATTCTCCCCCCCCCCCCCACACACACACACAGGACAGAGAGCAATTAAAAACAACAGTTACTGGAATAACAGTCACAACAGAATGGAATGTGTGTCTCATGTGACTCAGTCAGCCAATCACAGAGAGCTACTGCCAGAGGGGGGAGGGAACCCATGTTAAAAGTACATAGTAATTTAACACAAGTAAACATTCAAATTTCAGGAAATTCAATCATTATCCTTAACAGGGTCCCTTCAATATTCTGCAGCCTGCTTTGGGCCCCCTTGGGCTTTCCTGTGGCTGCGAATGGGGTCTGTCAGGCAGAAGGCCGCACCAGCCTCCTCAGCATCAGGAGACGTGCCTGATGTCACACATTACTTGTGTGCACCAGGTCCCATCAATTGTGAGGGCAACTTGGTGCCTGTGCCAGGAAGGAGATTCAGGGTTGCCACTAATGAGCCCTGTTAGCTACACATAGGGCTGCTCAGGAGAAGGGGGAAGTACATGGCAGCATCTCCCAGATCAGGGCCTGGTTGAAAGCCAGTAAGTGGTGGAGCCTCCAGCTGCTATATAAGCTCCCAGTTTGGGCTGCTTCATCGCTGATGCAACAGCTCTCTTGCAAACTTTAGCCTGCCAGAAAAGAGAACAGGGTTTATCCTTGGCACAAGCTGATATCTACCATTAGGGCAGGACTTTGAGGCAGTAACCCAGGTCCAGGATCAGCAAGAGCCTGCCACCACCCCCTGCATATAAAGGAGCAGATAAATGTAAGACAATTAACACTGTTGTCTGTGGGTATTCATTTGCCTCCATCTTATAACAGAAGTTTTTGAGTTCCACCCTAGAACCATAGAATTGTAGAGTTGGAAGGGACCCAGGGGTCATCTAGTACAACCCCCTGCAATTCAGGAATTTCAACTAAAGCATCCATGGCGGATGACATCCATTACAGATGATCAAGTCTCTGTAGGAGACTTGGATGAATTTCCCTCTCATTCATTTTTCCAATAAGGAATTCATCCTCCAACTGGTCACCCAAGTACCAGGAACAATGTATTGGGGAGAGTGTCAGAATGGCAATGATACTGAGCATGTTCTTGGGCATAGAGACATAGCCACCTTATGCTGTCAGAGCATTGGTCCATCTAATGCTGGTTTTAGATGGAACTTTGGTCTGGTCCCTCAAGCTCCCACTTAGGTACTACCCATGATTGTTATGTTCTGCCTGCACTGTCAGAGGCAGTACATCCGTGAATGCCTGTTTCAAGTGGAATGCTGTTGAACTAAGGCTCTGCTTTGTGGCTTCCCATAGGCATCTGACTGGCCACTGCAAGAACAGGAAGTTGAGGGGGTGGGTGGCTCTGCTTATATTCCTTTCTGTTCTAGTGGCCAGTCATACAGCTCCAACACTGTTTTTGCAGTGTGGTATCAAGGCCAGCTGTCAGGGTGCCAGTCAGAGGTTTTTGCCAGAAACTGGACCTCAGGTCTTGTCTATGCAGGGTAGGTGCTATCCAACTGAGCAACAAGCCCTCCAAGAACAAGTTGAAATATATGCTTTGTATTGTTTGAGGAAGGGAGTGTGTGAGAAGGGATGGACAGTCAAATAGCCAGTCCTTTGAGGGGGTGAGACGTCAGCTGCATAAGCATAATGGCTCCGTGGTGTTGCCCTGGCAACTGTAGCCTCCAAGACGATGCAATCAAATTTGGGGAAGAATGAAATGAGAAATGACAGAGGGGACGGGAAACAGAGATATAGCGCATGCAGGCTGCCACAGAACAGATTCAGGCAGCAAGACATTATTCCAAGCAATTACACTAAGCATCATCTTGTATTTGCCAGCTAATTACAGAATATTATTTGGAGCCCACTGTCCATCCGTGCCAGCCGCCCCTTGCTCTCTGGGCTTCGTCAAAGCCTAAGGAATGACATTCTCATTAACCTGACTGTGTTTGATCTGTTGCTACATCTCCACTTGGCACAAGACCAACTAGAACCGAGCTGTCCCCTTTGTAACACATCACCACATCCTCTGCTGGTTCTTCTCCTGCTACCCCCTTCTTCCTAGTGTACAATTTGTACAAAGAGAGGGCCTGGTGTTATGGGGAAATCACACCCTTTAGAGCTGAAATCTCTTCCCTCAAATTAAAAATATTCAGGGAGCTGGGTGGGGTCACCCAGTGATGTGGTCCTCAGTACATGCACAGGAGCCATCTTTAATATTAATTCCCTCAATCCAATGCTGAACAGAAGCACTGAAAAGATACCTTAGAGAGGAACCCCATAGAATCCATATTAAGGCTTGCCTGTTTCTCTGTACATGCATGTATGTGCAAACTCCACATGTAGCTGGCTGCTGGAAATGGGCTTGACTTCTCTCCTGACCCTCTGCTCTCACAGTGTGGATTCACTGGGTTAAGAATCAGAGTGCACACATCTGACATTAGAAATGTTAGAGCCCTGGTGGATCAGACATGCTCTCCAGATGCCTATGGGGAACCCAGAAGCAGAACCTGAGTGCAACAGCAAATCTCCCCCCTTGTGATTCCCAGAAACTAGTACAGTCATACATTGGTTCTCAACAGGGCATAAGCATATCCGGCGCCGTGGTGCAAAGCTCCCTCCGGTGCCCCCCTCCCCATTTCCCAGAGTTGTCCACCTTTTTTTAGGGAGAGCAGCGCTGCCAGAGGGGCTGGAAGAGGCAGGCAGCGGCTGGAGGGCAGCTCCTCCAGCGGGGAAGAGGTGGAGGCTGGGCGTGGCGCCTCCCAGCTCAGCTGGCCGCTTCATGCCATGGTGGCCATGGCAGATGGAGGCTCCGGCTGCAGCGCTGCTTCGGCACGGCATGGAGGAGGCGGGCAAGGGTGGCAAGTTGATGCCGGAAGGTGCCACGTCCAGCCTCCACCTCTTCCCTGGCGCCCTCCAGAACTTAGCACCCTGGCACCCTGCGCCACTAGCCTCTATGGGTAAGTTACCCCTGGTTCTCAAACACCTTGGTACTCGTCCATTTTGACTCCCAAATGCCGCACACTCGGAAGTGAGTGTTCCGGTTTGCAAACATTCTTTGGAAGCCAAATACCCGACGCAGCTTCTGTGACTTCCGATTGAGTGCAGGAAGCTCCTGCAGCCAATCGGAAGCAGCGCCTTGGTTTCTGAATGTTTCCGGAAGTCGAATGGACTTCTGGAACGGATTCCGTTCGAGAACCAAGGTACGACTGTATTCATATTTTTTTCCCCTTTTTTATTGATTTTCCACATTTATAACAAATATAACATAAAAAAACACACACAAAAGAAAACACATTACAATACTAAAAAGAAAAAGAAACAAAAATATAAACACATGTTACTTGTAAAACCCAATTTGTCTTTCATTGTTAACTGACTTCCCCGAATTCTCCCAATTGAATTTCATTGTATCACCTTGTAACAGCTCTCCAAAATCATCTTTCTAATAAAATTAACTCCTTCAATTTACTATCTTCTCTTTTCTTAATAATCTAAATCCATATTTCCTTACAATTCATTCTTATTCTAACTCTAAGCCTATTTGATACTTTCAAGTGTCTTCTAATTATCTTATGTTACAATATTTGGCTAAATAATCTTTAAATTTCTTCCAATCTTCTTGGTACTCCTCTTCTTTCTGATCGCAGATTCTTCCAGTCAAGTTGGCCAGCTCCAAAAAGTCCAACATCTTCATCTGCCATTCTTCTATCGTTGGTATTTCTTGCAATTTCCTATTTTTGGCTAATAAAAGTCTTGCCGCTGTAGTGGCATACAAAAACAATCTAACATCTTTTTTGGGCAATTCCAATCCTATTATTCCAAGTAGAAAGGCCTCTGGTTTCTTAATAAATGTATTTTTCAACATTTTTTTCGACTCATTATAAATCTTTTCCCAGAAGTCTTTCACCTTGGGACACGTCCACCACATATGATAAAGGGTGCCTTCTTTTTCTTTGCATTTCCAACATAAATTATCATTCGTATGGTAGATCTTTGCTAATTTTACCGGGGTTAAGTACCATCTATACATCATTTTCATAATGTTTTCTTTTAATAAAGGTACAACTGTATTCAGAGGCATACTGCCTCTGATATTGGAGGCAGAGCAAAGCCATCATTGCTAGTAGCCATTGATAACCCTCTCCTCCATGAATTTTTCTAACCCTCATATAAAGCCATCCATGTTGCTGGCCATCACTATGTCATGTGAGCAAATTCTATAGTTTAACTATGCCCTGTGTGAGGAAGTATTTTATTTTGTCTGTCCTGAATCTTACACCATTCAGCTCCATAGAATGTCCATGAATTCTAGTATTATGAAAAAAATAATTCCCAGCCACATTCTCCATGCCCTGCATAATTTTATACACCCTTATACACATTCCTCATCTAGTCTCTAAATTAAAAAGCCCCAAGAGATGTACCTTTTCCTCCTAGGGGGGCTGCTCCAATCCCTTCATCAATTGTGTTGCCCTTTTCTGAACATTTTCCAGCTCTCAAATATCCTCTTTGAAGTGAGGCAGCCAACACTGTGTACGGTTTCCAAGTGTGGTTGTGCCATAGATTTGTAAAGCAGCTTTGTGGCATCAGTAGTTTCAATCCTATTCCTAGAAAACCCCTAAAATGGATTTTGTCTTTCTCACATCTACTGCGATGTAGGGTTGACAACATCACTGAACTATCCACCACAACCCCCAAGGTCTTATTCCTGGTTAGTCTCTGTTGGTTTACAACCTACAAGCATGTATGTGAAATTCAGATTTATTTCTTTATTGCCCCATTGTACATCTCTTTGCACTTGCATTGGATTGCATTTGCCATTTAACTGCCTGTCCACACAGTTCTGAGATCCTTCTGCAGTGTGTTGCTGCTGTGGGAAGTGGCAGGAAAAAGTCTCCTGTATGGCTCTAGAGCAATTTTGGAAGTCATGCCTGATTCAGGCAGCCCAGCTAGCATCATGAAAATAAATGGGAAAAGGGCTCTGGGCTCATCCACATATATCTTTGCCCTGCATTTTCTAGACACAGGTCTGT